AGGTTGTAGGCCCCCCGGAGGTCGAGGTCTTCGTGAACACCCTGGCGTCCTTCACTCGGTCCAGGAGATCAGGGATGAGAGGGAGAGGGTATTTATTCTTTCTGTGATGTCGTTAAGGTGCCCGGTAGTCCACACAGGGCCGAAGACCCCCGTCTTTCTTCCCCACCAAAAATATACCTGCACCGACTGGGGAGGTGGACGGGCGGATGAAGCCCTTCGCCAGACTCTCCTCTATGTATTCCCTCAGCGCCTGGGTCTCGGGCTCAGATAAGTTGTATAGCCGTCCGTACGGCAACGGGGCCCCAGGAAGCAGTTCAATGGGGCAGTCGTAGGGTCTGTGGGGAGGTAAGGCGCCTGCCCCTGCTTTTTCGAAGACATCCGCGTATTCCCCGTATTTGGCGGGCAATGCCTGAGGAGAGGAGGCCAGGGCCAACAGAGAGCCAGGAGCAGATGCTCTCTTGTATGACCTGCGGATGGCACTGTGTGGATCCAAATGCATAAGTAGTCACTTTCACACCAAGGTCCAATGCGTTGAAACACCTTTATTCAGATGCTAAAAATACATGGTCCTACTAGTAGACAACATAATTTATGGACCATTGACGGTCCCTTCATCAGGCAAACAGTGACAACTAAGGATGCACTGATACCAATACTAGTATCGGTATCAGTATCGGTGCCGATACCGAGTATTCGGGTGACTACTCGTACAAGCCCAAATGCTCCGATCTTTATTCAGATACTGGAACTTCCAGTCAGAGGGAGATTTCCTCTGACTGGCAGTGCCACAAGGGAAAATGGAGGCGGCTTCCCGGCCAATCAGGAAGCTGGGCTGTGGGTAATGACCGGCCTTCCGCTTTCCTGATTGACTGGGATGCCATGCGATTGGCTGGGATGCCGGCTTCCTGATTTCCCAGGAAACTGACTCCTTGTATTTGGAATCAGTGAATACCAAAATATAAATATCGGTATTCGATACCGGAAAACTGGTATCGGTGCATCCCTATTGACAACCATCAATGTGAGACAAAGGCCTTTGATGACCATTGATGAAGGCTTTCCACTAATTGAGGATGTGCTCACTGCATGTAGCATAAATCGGAAAACAGTCTAAATGACACTGGCATACAGAATGGAGTAGGATGTTTACTAACAGAGAATATTTTGTTAGCATCCATGACATCACAGTCTAGGGGTGTCTTTACTTGCCAAGTCACATAGGCTGAAGTATAATAATTGAATGTTCACTCATGTAGTGCTTAAAAGTATAAAGTAAAGTTGTATTCTACCCCCACTGCAAATCAGGTTTACTGGCAAAATTACAAAATTCAGTTTGCAATGAACAAATCAAACAAAAGCAATTGAAATGGTTCAAAACAATGAATGTTTCAAGTGGTTTCCCCAAATTCAACTGAAAATTCAACTTTTAATGACTTCTGCAGTCTCAAAATTATTCAGCCCCCTGAATACTGTAGAATCCCTGACAAGAGATTTCGGAGAAGGCAGGTTGAGAAAAACCCTTGAGTGACTGCAAAAGATCTGCAGCAAAACTTGGTGGCAACAGGCACTAAGGTTTCAATTTTCACAGTAAGGTGTGTACCAAACGTAGAAGGTTTCCATGCCAGGACTCCAAGACGTACACCACTACTGTCTCAAAAGTACAAGTAAAGCTGGATCTAATATGCTCAATATCATATATATAAGCCACAGAAATTTTGGGATTCTCTTCTGTGGAGTGATGAAACAAAACTGGAACTTTTCGGCCCTATGCATCAACAGTATGTCTGGAGGAAGAAGAATGAAGCATACGCTGAAAAGAACACTTTGCCTACAGTTAAACATGGTGGTGGCTCGGTGATGCTATGGGGTTGCTTTGCATCTTCTGGCACTGGAAACTTGCAGCTTGTGGAAAGCAAGATGGATTCATTGAAGTATCAAGAAACCTAGGAGAAAATGTCATGCTGTCTGAGAAAGCTGAAGCTTGGGCGTCATTGGGCCTTCCAGCAGGACAATGATCATAAGCATACCTCAAATTCCACCAGGTTTGGTTGCAGAAGAAGTTCTGGACAGTTTTACAGGGGCCATCACTGTCACTTGACCTGAACCCCATAGAAAATCTCTGCTAAGATTTGAAGAAATGCGGTTGCAGCAGGCAAACCCAAGAATCATAGCATACTGCATTGCTCATGAAGAATGGGCTAAAATACATCAGGAACGCTGCTGGTGTCTCGCTATGCTTCCCGTTTGCAGCAGGTCAGAACATCAAAAGGGTGCTCTCCTAAGTATTAAAGATTCTTGCCGTGAAGTGATTGTATAATTTTGAGACTGCAGAAGTCATTACAATTTGCATTATTAGTTGTATTTGGGGAAACCACTTGAAACATTTATTGTGTTGACCTTTTTCAACTGCTTTTGTTTGATTTCATCATTGTAAATAATGGAAAGTTTGTAAATTTTGCCAATATACCTAATTGCAATGGCGTTGAATTATTTCGATAACAACTGTAGATGGGAAATATCACAAGCAAAATACTAAAAGGAGTAAGTCAGTTTTCTTGTGCTAGTATTTGCGTGTGTTTGTGTGATATATTACTTTGCAAGACAAGACCTATATATTTATTAAATATTCATGTGTTGGCTACTGATTCTTCAACGACATGCCCTATTAATTTGGAGATAAATGCCATAATCAAACATTAATGACCATTTAAGAGTAAGCTCAGTTACTGATCAATAGCACTAACTGAATAGCAATAACACTCTCTTTTCTCTCTCAATCCATCTAAATCATTAAGGGCTACATTAAATGGTAGTATTGTAAGATGCATGTTCTGTAAGTCTGTGGTAAACCAATGAACAAATAGGAATTGCAGCCAATAGAATCTTTTGAAAGAGTATCTGTAATTATATTATGTCCCTTTTTCCCTACATCCTTCAATAATCTATGAGTAAGATGAAAAATGATGGGACTTTAATGGTAGCACAATGAGGCTGGATTATTAAAGAAGCTGGCCTCTATATCTCTTATTGCTGCATGAAACAAGAGGTATACATAAAATCTTTTTTCTTTTATTATAACTGTTCAGCATAAAATACATTTGCTGAAAAACATGTCTTAAAGTACAAAGTACGTATTTGTACAATATGACAATATACACTGAGTGGGCAGATTATTATGACCATCCCATCAGTACTTCGTTGGGCCATGAGATGACTCAACGAGATGACTTCGTTGGGCCGCCTCGTGACTCCACCACTTTTGCACACACAGCATATTTCTAGGCTCACCACACTGAACCCGCACACTTCCCCACTGACTGACTGCCACTTTCCCCCTTACACTTCACGACTGTCTGCTACTGCTTTCATGCAGGCCCGAATTTCCCACAAGGCCACACAGGGCGGCAGCGCTGACCTTGTGGGGAAGTTGTGGGCGCCGGTGTAAGGTGTCCGACGGCCGCACACTACGGTCCGCCGCCGTCCAATCACGGCGGGGCGGCCCGAGGCTCTGCCCACCGGAATGCTTTTCTCCACTGAACACTGCTGCACTTGTGCACCTCTCCACTGACTGTTACTGCACCGTGCACTTCTCCACTGGCCATTGCCAACTTAACAGCACACCATGTGCCATTAACTGCTGCACTATGCACAGTGTGCTATACAATACATTTCTTAGACTGATGAACTCTGTACACTATGTTGTACAATCATGTGCAATGTATTCATCTCTGTTTAGAAATCGGCACACTTTTACTAGTTATTTATTTTTGGATAAAATCCTTTTTTTTTTGGATAAAGATCAAATTTAAATCTCTGAATACAATGTGCTAAACACTAGTGTTAAACACTTGGGGGTCTATTGGCAAATGTCCTTCACACAACAATCCCTCCACAAGGTAGAGCCAAGGAGCATAGAAATTTCCTATGCTCCTTCGCTTCATCTAGTGACAGGAATGCCTCATGAATGGCATTAGCCCTGCATATGGCTGGCCTAAAGAGTTATAAATAGACCCCTTGGGGTTTTTAATGCTGTAAATCAACTTTGTTTTGCTGTAATGTTTGATTATTCACATTGCTTTCTTTATAAAACCTAAACATGCAATCAACACCTTATGATGAAACAATTCTTAATTTTGTGTATGCAGTTTAATATGTCAGTCCATTCAGCATGGGAATAAAGACTTTGCTAATTGCAGTTCCTCAATAGAACATAATATTCCATCATATGTGAGACATTAGCCTCCACTTGTTCTGTTTATTCGTACTAAATATATCTTCAACAGTGCTTTTTCCCTCTGAGACAAATATGAGCAGAAATCAGTGATTTCCTACCCTACTCTACTACTGATTCATAATTTATATGAGGTGACTACTGCTCCATAAAGAGGGGTGAATGTACTCATCACTTTCATTATATATAAGAACTAATGGTCCATGTACACACTGACAATTGGGCATTGTTAGCTTTGAGGTTGGGTTGTTGTTAGTCACTTTAGAGAAAATACATTTCTGTTGAAAAGCAGGACATGTATTTTTTACATTTGTATATAGCGCAAGTTTTAGGACAAGTGTACTTTTGTGCACCTATTACCCAAAGCCCCCTATAACCCATCACAGCAGCCCTGCAGATTACAATGCTAACCTCCCATCTGATGACCCCAGTGGTCCAAAGTAAAGACACTTCATCTCCTCCTTTCAGACATCTGTCGCAACAGAGCCCGTACTAACAGCTTCTGTTTGTGAGCAACTCCATACTTGTACCTCCGATCAGAGCAGTTTGCTGCAGGAAATCTTCCATTATTGAATTTCTGTGCATTTCTGTGCAACTATGTCATAGGATCCAAGGCAGAGAGCTGCAAAATAAGTAAGTAATGGGGGAATGTGCAAAGCATATGTTTACTTCAAACCCATAGCCTGCACTCATGTTTTTGACTGGAATGATTTTTAATAATGTCATATAAATGAACAGAATCTCACATCTTGTCCTTTGATGTTTTTAGCTTCTGTGGACTTGCTGAAATGCGAAAAAGGCAACAATCACAAAATGATGAACCCTCACCTGTATCACAAGCGCCTGGTGGAAACCAAAGGCCAAACACATGCTGCTTTTGCTGGTGCTGTTGTTGCAGCTGCTCATGGTATGTCTTGCAGTATATTTGGTACCTTATCCAATACAGGTAAATAAAGTACATACTGTCTATTGTTTCCTGCCTCTAAGTAATACCATAGGTACAGCTATAACATGTGCTGGATGGAAGGGAATAGCAGCTTAGACACTGGTGCATCAAAAGTGTGTGTGTTCTGAATTTATTCAAATATGCCATCTAATAACCTAGCATGAACAAACAGTGATTTCAGATCACAAGCAAGCTTTATCAGTTAACTGGTAATATGATACAGGAATTAATCCAGCTGTGCAGATGGAAGAACGACCATTAATTGTTACACTTCTGAAGAATTTGTCAGCCTTGCTGCTATGTATATTAGGCATGTCTTAGGGATTCTCTAGGAGAAAGCAGCTTTTACCAGACGTGTTGCCAGGTATCCTACATGACAGAAGAGAGGACATGAATAGCTGCTGTGGAACTAGGACAGAGGCAGGTTAGGATGTAGTACCAAGCAGAATTCAAGAGGGGATGGTTGGAAGAGATGCCGAGCAGGTGAAGACGTAGTACCAAAAAGAATTCAAGAGGGGATGGTTGGAAGAGATGCTGAGCAGGTAAAGACGTAATAACCAGCAGTATTTGCAAGGCAGATCTTTGTAACAGGTGCCTGTATCATGTACAAGACAAGGAAATGGGTTGTTCAAGAATCACACACATGGGCTGATGCAGTTCTCAAACATATGATCCATTCCAATCAATGATATCAAAGCAAATAATATCACTGGTGGTAGGTATTTACACCTTTGCTAATTATAATGAATGTGCTGCGCTTCATCTAGAACAATACATAAACAAGTGTCTATAATAAATATGTGCTTAAATAATACATGCAATCAAAAAAGTGTTCCCAATGAATCTTCTTATAAATAATAATAGTCCTCTGGAAAGTTCAATCATATATTCCGTGTTCAAATATACACAAATGGAATCACATGTATATAGTGCTCACGATTTGTCCCAAGTGCACCACACTCTTTATCCTTCCACTGTGAAAGTTCTTTGTACAAAGTCCATACGTCAACTCCAATTATCACTCAGGTGCTCCCCCTCTCAGTGGGCCGCTCACCTTATAAATAGACCTGAACAGGTCTAGAATCTCTTTAATAGGTTTCCAATCGATCTTATTCAAAGGCCATCTCTCCACAATCATTGCACAGAAAATTACGTCAGCGTGTTATCACGACCATATCCAATAAAATATAAAAACAGCCCATAGCGTAAAACCGCAAAATTAAAAAACCTCCTTTATTTAAAAAACTACTCACATGAGGAAAGTAGACATAAAACTTCAAATAAAATATATGCTCGACAACTCTCTCTCCGTGTCACCGTGTTCTCTGGGTGCAAAGACAGATCAAACAGGAGCTGTGCTGCCGACCATGCAATCTCCAATCCATGTCTGCGAGACTCCGCCCTACGCGTTACATCACAATTGACTTCATCTGGCCGCAGATGAAGTCAATTGTGACGTAACGTGTAGGGCCCCAGATGAAGTCAATTTTATTGGATATGGTCGTGATGACACGCTGACATCATTTTCTGTGCAACGATTGTGGAGAGATGGCCTTTGAATAAGATCGATTGGAGACCCATTAAAGCGATTCTAGACCTGTTCAGGTCTATATATAAGGTGAGCGGCCCACTGAGAGGGGGAGCACCTGGGTGATAATTGGAGTTGACGTATGGACTTTGTACAAAGAACTTTCACAGTGGAAGGATAAAGAGTGTGGTGCGCTTGGGACAAATTACTTTTTTGATTGCATGTATTATTTAAGCACATATTTATTATAGAGATTTGTTCATGTATTGTTCTAGATGAAGCGCAGCACATTCATTATAATTTGATATATTCAGTGGGTAACACTTCTTATAGTGCTTGCAGCTACACAGGGTTTGGCGCGAGGTGCTTTTTGTCACTTATTTACACCTTTGCTGATGACACCACATCCCTGGGAATTGGGGTGTGCAATTTCAAAACCAACCAAATTATCTAAAAACATTTAACTTAATGTAATCATATAAAAACATCTTATAGTATACACATAAAACCTGTCTCTGCATATATTCCTCAACAAAGCCTCCTTGAAACCGCTAATTTTCTGGTCCAAAAATATAAAATATATACAAATGCTGACAAAACTATGATGTTTAAATTAAAATGATTGTCAGAGAGAAAATCACAAGGTAATATTTAGAAAAATACTGTATATTGAAGGCAGCTATACACCATGGGGCCTGCAAATACAAATATTTCCTTATGTATCCAATATTGATAACAGCTTAAAACTATTTGGGAAATGAATCTACGAATCTACATCAATGTTCTAGTACTTTATGCAGTGTAAAGCATGACTCTTCTAAGGGCAAACAAGGATAGCAAACAATGGTGTCAAAAAAAGATTTGAAAATTAATCTTAATCTTAAATCTGAGAAAATATATGTGAGTAGCCTTGTAATCTCAAAAATTACTCTATACTAATGTAGAGCCAAAGGAAATCTCACCGCTCCAATTCCTTAGCCACCATCAGGACTACCCAGGTGCTGGTCAAATAGGTGCGTCTCCACCTTAGAATGTAGTAGTATACGAACAGACCGCACTGTCCAGAGAATTCCAATACTTCAGACTTTATTGAAATTTGCAGCAAATCCTCTATTACTCTATTAGACATGTGCGATTCGTTTTGTTACGAATCGAAATTAGTACGAATTTTCCTGGAATTCGTAAATTTGGAAGCATCCGAAATCCGAATTGCAGTTTCCGAATTATATCCGAAATACAAAATTCCGTTAACGAACTAATATTAGCCCTGTAAATGAGGTTGAACAACATGACAAGATTTTTTTTAATACGAAATACGGATCCGCTGCTGCTGAGGGTTGCATTACAATACATACAGGCAGGAAATACGAAATTCCGTTGATGGAATTTCGTTCCGTTACGAACATTCGTTATGATGAAGTTAAAAAGCAAAATACCTTTGTTAATATTGGAGTTGATGAGGTTTTTTTTTATCCGAAATACGAAATTCGGATCCGAAATCCATTAACGGAATTCGTATTTCGTTTGGTTGACCAATCAGAAGTTTTCTCTTCTGCTGCTGAGAGTTGACCTTTAGTAGTTTACTGCACTCAGTTGTACTATTCCAGTTTTTTGACTGGTTGTTAACTGCTTAAATTGCTTAAATTTCGAATAAAAACTGAAAAATGTCAGTGTTCTATAACTTTTGACTGGTAGTTGTATATGATAGATATACCGGTAAGAACAAGTTTTTATAAAAATAGATATGCAATCTTGAAGAAACAACCTCTATAGAATGAATATTTATGTATAAAATATAGAAATAATTAAATAAACAATTGGAGATGAACATAAAATCATGAAATCTTGTTTAATGACATTTATTCAAAATGTTTAACTCATTAAAGTAGCTGATACACTTGTGTTGTCTCTTAGAAACTTGTCTTCTAATCCTGTTGTAGCTTTGGGTCTGCCAGACCTGTTGCTGTCAGTTTCCTCCAGTTTTCAAGTGTCTTTTGATAGCATAGAGAACTGTACGCACTGATACCCTGTTTGTTTGTTTTTTGCAATTTCATTAAAAGAGAGGCCTATACTTTTAATGGTTATATGAAAACTGAAAACTGTTCTACAGTTTTTGACTGGTATTGTATATGGTAGATATACCAGTAAGTACAAATTTGTATCAATAT